TTGTCCAATCATGCATCAAAAATATTCAGGAAGCTAGGCGCTGGTGGCTTATGCCTGTAATCCTAACTACTCAGGAGGCTGAGATCTGAGGATCGCAGTTCAAAGCCAGCTCAGGCAGGAATGTCCATGAGACTCTTATTAATTAAGCACCAGAAAACCAGAAGTGGCACTTTTGTTCAAGTGATAGAGTGCTAGCCTTGAGCTGAAGAGCGCAGGGACAGTGTTCAGGCCCAGAGTTCAAGACCCATGACCAACAACAACAACAAAAATTCAGGAAAATAAAATGCTCATAGTTATACTGCAGTATCAGACTTTGGGAAATGTTTGTGCCTATTAGTTCAGATGAAGAAGAAAATAGCTTCCTATTTGGGTGATGAAGAAAAGAATATGAGCTGAAAGATTTCAGAAAATGTCTGTGGCTTACTTTTAATCAAAAGACCTTTAGCCTAGAACACCCCATAGGTTTGGGGAAAAAATTGATTTGGGGTAATTTGTGTAAATTTTTTAATCACTCTAGCCTAAGAATATATTTTAAATTGCAAATCACTTCTCTGAACTCTTTACCTTTGGGCATAACTGAAGTAATTGCAGAGTTGGTAATGAAGAAAAGAAGAATATTACATACTAATTTGCTAATATACCCAAACATGGCTATTGTTTTTAGCCATAGTACTAGTATTTGACACTTCCTTTTCTACCCTAGAATCTCGCTTCTAAAACACAATCAAGTAGGTCAGCTGAAGGTCTGTACGGTAGAACAAGCCAGCATCACACACTATCTCTCCAGCCTCACTCTTCAATCCATGTATCCGGCTCCCCAAAACAAACCATGCACCACCTCCTAGTTTGAAACAAGCCATAGGAAAGGAAAATTAAACGAGGACCTCTCATTTTGTAACAAGCTGGTACATACACTCAAAAATAAGTGAGCTAGCTTAATGCCAATGTCTCATGCCTATAATCCTAGCTATTCAAGAGGCTTAGATCTGAGGATCAGGATTCAGAGCCAGACTGGGCAGAAAAATCCTAGGGTCATCTCCAGTTAGCCAGCAAAAAGCCCAAAGTGGAAATGTGGCTCAAGTCACAGGGTACTTAACTGTGAGTGAAAAAGCCAGATGAGAGTATGAGGCTGTAAGTTCAAGCCCCACTATTGGCACAAAAATAAACGAATGAATCATACGTTTGTTTTTCTGCCCAAAACATCTAACTGAAATCATCTGGCCTTTATTCAGCATCAGGTTAAGTGTGAGTTTTAATAAATTACAATAAGATATAATAAAGTTTCAATCAAGTGGCCAATAAATTATATCCTCTTGCTCTCTGAAATTCCTAGAAAACATGGACAATTTTATAATAATTAAAACATTAATAATGTACTGCTGTAAGATTTTGTAATGCCCTCCAAATGAAGGAAGCAGCAATTGTAAATAGCACCAACTGCTCTTGCATCCATATTTTGCTTCTGTGTAGCATTCTGATTAAAACCAGTACAAGAGGAAAACTCTCTCTTCCCTATAAATGAGTGGGTTTTTGTGAGATTGGTACACTCTTCTCACTGAACTACAAACCCCATTGAAACAAAGATTGTAATTTATCCACCATGGTAAAACTGGTTTTCATATATCCTTCATTATGAATATACTCAACAAAACCTTTGGCTGAAAAAACCAAAAGGAAATCAGAGAGGAAAGAAGCTGTTAGGATTGTTTGCTTGCACTCCTAGTCTCAGAAACAAGGGGCTATGAGCTATATAAACAACATGACATTCCTACTGCTTACAATTCTTTAAAGTAAATTGTATGCCTAAGATAAATTACACCTGCCAGTACACACACTACTATAACTGCTTAACTTTTTTTTTGCTTTTAGAAGAAAACTGTCTTAATGGCAATATATAGAACAATGCAGTAAATACAATTTGACTTTGAAAGATGCTAGTACATTCTATGCCATTTTCTTGGTTTTAAATGATGTATTTACAAACATACCATCATTTAGTCACCTGATATTTACCAAAACCTTACTATATATTTTAGCAGGCTTTGCTGCAACCTGAGATTTCTTTTTCTTTAACAAGACAGAGTCCAGATGAAGGACCATGTATTGCGAAGACATCATCTCTGGATAGGGATACGGGGCCTTCAGTGAAGATTGAGCTTATCTGTATACCAGGGTGTTGAGGTGAACTTCCAGAATATATCCAACTTGGTGGCTTGCTTTCTCTGGAAAAAGTTATATTAATGGAGAAAAATAGTTGATACCACTCACTGAGCTAAGTGTAAAAAGTAGTTTACATAAAGCCTCTAGACAGAAGTGTCTCCTTATACTGAAGACTCATAAAGTGCTAGCTCCTCAGGGCTTATGTGCTTTCATGACTTAAGGGATTATGTAGCTCAAATGTCACTGAAGAATGCAGTACTCAATATTACAAGGACCTTTCCAGATCTGTACAGAGTGAGATCTTGCCTTTCCCTCTGAGTTCTTGATTTGTCCTTTCACAGCAAGGTATCTCCCAACCCAATGTCACCCACACAGTACTCCTCCCTTCCTGGCCATCCACAGGTCTTGCATACTTATTGACCCTAGGGATTAGATAATATCCACTGTTGGAGTTTTAAGCAAAATTTTCTTTGCTTCCTAAAAAAGGTAATTACTTAATGGAATTCCAGCTGTAATAAGATCTTACTCTCAGAAGCATTTATTCTTTATCTGCTTCTTATTGGATAGTGTATTCTTAGTCCTAGCTTCCATCTGAACATTAATGGTCGAGTTGTGGAATTAAAAAGACCATCAGCAAGTGGAAAACTTTATTTCTTTATTCCTCCTACTTATTTACCTTCTGCAATTGTTGGTGGACATAGAAAATACTTAGTGAGCATGTTTTCTGAAGGGACCGATAGTTTAGTTTCATTCTAGGGTTTGACCTCAGGCCATCTTTGATCATATATAGTTTGTTTTACATGAAAGTTCCTTTTTCAGGAAAGCCAGGTGATGGGTTGGCATCAGAAGGTAAATAATGAGATACTTTGTAAGTGATAGAGGCCATAGCTTACTGCTACTCTCACCAGACACCTGTTTTCTTCTTCACATCTGATATATTCGTCCGTTTTTATTGCTATAACAAAATACCTTATTCTGGTGGTTTTATACAGAAAAGATTATTTAGTCTCAGAATTCTGGAGGTTCAAGGATAGGGTGTTGGCATCATCTTAGTTCTGATGAGGACCACATAGCAGGTGGCATTTAAGGCAAAACCAGAGAGAAGTGTGGAGGTTGGTCTCATTCTATAAGAATTCAGGCTCTCATGTCAACCACCTTTATTCCTTAAGAGGCATGCCTCTCAATATGGACCAAGCTTCCAACATATGAACCACATCCAAACCATAGCATACCCATTCAGAAGTGCCATTCAAAAGGTATTCCTATGCCAACCCATCCCTTGAGAAGAGCTCACCCCAGGGAGAGAAGACGGTGCCAACCAACAGCTCATCTGCACTGAGAAGAATTACAGCTCTATGTTTTGTCTTGTTTTGTTGGCAGAGAAGTGTAAAGAGACACTATTGCTCTACCCTGTCATTAGTGGGTGGGTAATAGTGATATAAAATAAGAGATGAATTAGGATAATAAGAGGCAAAGGAGAAAGGAGTAAATTTTCCACAAGTAATATTTTTCTCTTCATGGTTATTTAACTTTGAAACCGAACTTGAAAGCAGTAATCACAGTTCTACAGTAGACAAAAGACCAAGTGTAGGAACCAGACAGGAAGGTAAGGTGTGAGTGCCTTTATTACATTATTGTACATTTTCCTAACTACAGGAAAATGTACAAATGCCAGAAATGCACTGCTGTTTCCATAATAGAACAGCAAAGAAAAGGGAAAGTTACAGATGCCCAGTTAACCTTAACCCTAAGGAGCAGAGATCTTTTAAATGAATCTACATCTTTTCTTAAACATATATTTATTGTAAAAAAGAGTCTGCATCTTTTGCCAGGCTTGTTCCTTGGATTTTTTTTTTTTTTTGGATCATATTGAAGTGGACCGATAGTAAAGCAACACCAAGTGAGAGGGTTTACAGCCCAGGAAAATTTAAACCAGGGAGCAAGTATTTTCAGTTTCCTTATGATGGCTATTATTTACTACTGTATTTACTCACATTTTAAAAATGACAGCTATTTTTATTCATTCATTGAGTCAATCAGTATGTAAAAGGCACCTGTAAAGCACTAGTTCTTTAGGCACTGGGATTCCACAATGATGAAGTAGAGAAGGACCAGACACCAAACAGTAGCCATAGTCACAAGTAAATACTACATATGTTCTAAGTAAAAACAAGGTATGAGCCAGTACAAGGGGTTGAGACTCACTGTGAGAAGTGGAGGACTCTCTGGGAAGCTACAGTAGCTCTGTCTGTGTGCATGCGCGTGCACACGCACACACACACATACACATGCATACATACACCTATCCTGGGACTTGAATATTGGTGAACCATCCTCTGTTGAGAAACCAAAGCAATCTTCTTGTTCATTCTAGTGCTTTTTACATTTTTATTCTGAGCCCACTAAAATTCCATCACTAGCCACTCACCAAAAATATTCATGGAAAAAATATACAATCAGTCTTCTTTTTCCCTAACTTAAAAAGCTAGTGTACAACTGAGTCCCTGTGGCTCATGCCTGTAATCCTAGATACTCAGGAAGATAAGATTGCTTTCAAGACCATTGGTCCAAGCCAGCCAAGTCAGAGAAATCTATAAGAATCTCATCTGAAATTAACAAGCAAAAAGACAGGAGTGGAGTTGTTGCTCAAGTGATAGAGCACTAGCCTTGAGCAAAAAGGCTAAGTGACAATTCCAAGACCTTGACTTCAAGCCTCAGGATTGGCACACCTGCACACACACACACACACACACACACACACACACACAATGTTTCATTCCATTTTGTCATCAGCACACATATCTAATTTGGGTTTTATATTATTTTTCCTGTTTACTCAGCTCCTACAGAACCTTTATTGTGCAAGTTTGCAGATGGAGGACAGAAGAAGCGACAGAACCCAAACAAATACATCCCTAATGGAAGACCATGGCACAGAGAAGGAGAGGTGAGACTTGTAAGTCCTTTCTTGAAACTGTGAGTATTACACAAAAGTTACACGAAAGGTGACTTGCTTTGGCTATGACATTTCAGAAATAGGTGCCAGGATTAAACCTTCCACTGGTAGATTATAACTCTAAAGATGTCAGGTTTAAACTCTTCCCAATGTATATATATGGTGCTAAGAAAGGATTCCCATTTGGACAGATGGGACTATGGTGGGAACTAACTTGGATTGCCAGCAATAGATACACATAAGTAATAGGATTCTATATTGCTATAAAAATGCAACAGTGTTTTGAAGTTTTCTCTTTTTGTCCCAGTTTAGATGTATTCTTTTAGGTGAGTTTACATTTATAGTATTCAAGATACAGTCTAAGCTAGATGCTGGCAGCACACACCTGTAATCCTGCTTAGGAGCTGAAATCTGAGGGTCACAGTTCAAAGCTAGATTCAATTAAAAATCAAAAAGCTGAAGTGGAGGTGTGATTGTGGTTCAAGTGGTAGAGTGCCAGCATTGAGGGAAAAGCTAAAGGAGAACATGAAGCCTAGAATTCAAGCCTCAATACTAACACAAGTAAAGGGAAAAGTAAATAATGGTAAAATAATATATTTTTAATTAAAAGTTTTTAAGCTTATTCTTTTGAATAGTTTCTTGAGGGGAAAAAAAAACACCCTTCAATTTCTTAGTAAAAAACTAGGCCTTGCTGGACACCAGTAATCCTAGCTATTCAAGCAGCTGAGATCCTGATGATCACAGCTTGAAGTCTGCCTTAACAGGAAAGCCCTTAAGACTCTGATTTCCAATTAACCACCCAAACACCAGAAGTAGATCTGTGGCTCAAGTGGTAAAGCACTCAAGGACAGCACCCAGGCCCTGAGTTTAAGCTTCAGGAATGGCATGCGCGTGAGCGTGCGCGCGCGCACACACACACACACACACACAAACACGCATGCACGCACATAAATTGGGCCTTGACTTCTCTATATTTGTTTTCAATGAATTGTGATATTAAAAAAAAATACAGGTCTGGGAATGTCTGGAGAAAAATGTTCTAGAATTTGTGTTATGCATTGATAACCACTAGCTACATATGGCCATTCAACGACTTGAAATTTAGCTACTTCACTAGAGATTGGATTTTCTATTTAATTTTCAATAACTCCGTGTGTCTAATAGCTTCCATATGGGACTGCACAGGTCTAGGGCTTAATTCTTTTCCTGAATTTACAATTACATGTGCCTAACAGAAACTCCCAGTTTTATCAATTGCTATTATTACTGTCTTGGACTGCAATGACTGTCAGAAATGGAACTTTAGAATCATGCCTTTCCAAATGAATGTTCACACTTCCTTTTCCTTCCTATAGGCTGGAATGACACTCACTTATGACCCAACTACAGCTGCTATACAGAATGGGTATGTCATTTATACAAATACATAATGGCTTGAGGGAAAATGAAGGTGGAAAAAAAACAGACATTTTTTCCATGAATTATTCCATTCTAGGATTACTTAATAAAGGCTTTTGTGTTTGTTCTAGATTTTATCCTTCACCATACAGTATTGCTACAAACCGAATGATCACTCAAACTTCTCTTACACCCTACATTGCATCTCCTGTATCTGCCTACCAGGTTTGTACCTTTAGGATATGTCAGCAGTGTAACAACTTGTGCATCATGAATCTCTGCTGCGTTTTGATTTGTCTCAAAATTCTGAACAGGGTCTGATGAAATTTAAGTCAGGTTTTATGCAGCCTGGATACCCAGTATAGAATAAGCTTCTTTTTTGTTTGACAGAATGATTTGCTTTTGCATATAGGAGACTACAAAGCCAGGGATTAAGTGTTTGTTCCATGTCAGTCCTTGCATAGCAGTTTAGTAGTTGAGATAAACCCACACACTTCCTCTACCCTGAGCCCTGCTTTTGGATACCATATGTCCCCAAAATGCAGACTTGAAGAGAATTGCCATTAGGCAAAATGCAAAATAGATGTGGACCCAAACTTCTGTCTGATCATCAGCAGGAACTGATACAAGAACAAGAAACCTGACAGTACGCATAAGTCTCTCCTAAGATACAGTTAAGTGATACAGTTAAGATTAGGGACTCCTCCCCAACAACAAAGAGACAACTCCCCTGTTCTGGTTGTTTTCTTAAGGAGTCTCTACCTTAAAATAAATTCCCAACTGAGAACCAAAGCACCTTATTAAGCATGTGTCACAACACTAGGGCAGTATTGAGCACACAGTGGCCTATATGATTTTTTTCCTCCTGTGTCAGAGTCCCTCAACCAGGCCTGAGCCCCTATCTCCCTCCAGGAAAGTGTTATAACAGAGTACAGCCACTAGCATGAGGGAGGAAAAGTCTCTTCTGATGACTGTTGAGACCCTGTTGACTAAACTTTTTTGCATTCTTGTTTTTAAAACAACTGAATTAGATATAATAGTCCTAATTTCTGGAGTAAGAGCACCACAATATAATCTCCTAGCTATGTTATCTAACAAAGCCTCAGTTTCCTCATCTTTAAAATGAGAATAGTAATAGTTGCTATCTCATAAACTTAAGAGAGTTACAACAACTAAATGAGAATATGTAAAGTTCTACATATCACTCATAGCTCATTAGCACTCAGTGATGTTATTAGCATTCAGTATGATTGTCATCATCATTATACATTAACTATATTTTTCCATAATGGGATGGTTAACTTAAGCCAGTATCAGCTGGTTTCTGTCACAAAAATATGAAAATAAATAGCTTTGAATAACAAAGAGCCATTAGATGTACTGAAACTGAAATTTACAATTAGTATTCACTGCTTCTCTCAGCTTTTAGGTTCTTTCATCCTTCTTCTGAATTGTCACTCCTTTTCTTTTCTTTACTCTCTCTAAGCTGAATTGCTTATTCTGGTGCGTCAATTCAATCCTTAGGGCATAATAATTATTTAGTTAATGCTTCTTTGGTTGTTTAGACTTCAGATTCCTATCTTTTCCTTGATTCTGTAATACTAAGATCTACTGTAGAGCATTTTCCCCAAAACAATTCCTGTGTCTGTTATTAAAAGATAATCTTTAATTATCTGAGTTTAGAAATATTTGATATTTATAAATCTCTAAAATTAGGGGCAAGTTTAAACTTGTTCTTGGGCAAATGCGAGATAGCGTATAATTTCAACATACGTTGCTATAGATATTTCCACTATTAAACTATATCTCTACTACCTTCTTTCCCTTTTAATATAAAAGTAATGTTCATTTCAGAATCATTTAATAGAATAAAAATTTAGAAGGCCAGTGTTGGTAATCAACTTGATATAGCTAACTGGAAACAATATATCATTTCAAAGGTCTGATTTCCTCTCCTGGGCATCCTGTATTTTTCTAAGATCCATGTGGAATTTCATTCCATTTGCCTGATGCTCACTGCCATGGCCTCTCAGATGGATTCTTAAACCCCTATGTTCAGGGACAGGTAGGGTCATGGATGAGCTTTAAATAATCTATGATCCCTCTTGTTTGCAATATGTTGTTAATGGATGTGCAACTTGTTTGGGGTGGGGTGGGGAATCTATTTCTTTCAACAGGTTTTCAAAGAGATCTGTGGCCTTAAAGAGGTCGAGAGTTAATAGAATATAGATGTTGTCAATAGGGAACATTGAGAAATAGAAATATAAGCAGCTGATTTGCTGCTTAAAGAAGAAAACTAGATTAGATGTCATAGCTCCCTAATCTCATAGTGCTAGAAGCAATAACAATTAAGATCACTGATGCATAAAAAAATGGGGAATACCTGGACTAAGTTGGGATCAGTAAGGAACTGCTTACCTCACATGCTTTACCCAGTGAGGACCCTTCACTCAAGTTGGGGTGGGCCGTTCTCCACTAAACCACCATATACTTATGCAGTTGGATTGGAGAAATTGGCATCTGCAAGAAACCACCAATACCCCAATGGAAAGGCTACAGTCCAGATAACTGAAATGTTAACAAGGCAGAAGCACTTAACTTTGGTCTGCCTTAGGTGGCAAAGGAAACCAGAGAAAACAAGTATCGGGGCTCTGCTATCAAGGTAAATCACAATGCATTCTTCCCCCATGACTCTTCCCCATATCCTCTTTATAGAACCTCTGAAGTTAACACTAGGGAATAGGCAACACGAGGGCTTTGTTATTAAGAATTGGAAATCAAGACTTGTTTTCAAATTTCATAGGTCCTGGAAAGCCCTGGGCATCAGAACATGGACTGAAGTGATCTTGAGTGGCAGACTAAACATGCTTTTGTTTTTGGCCACCTAGCCTGACTCTCACATCTTACTTCTCAGTTGAGGGGTCAACCATGTGGATGCCCTTTTAACTGTAGATGTCAAGATCTAGTTACCAAAGTTTAATTTCCAAAATCTGAATTTCAGATGTTTATTTTTTTCTAACTAGAAATTGACTTTCATACAAGATTTCTGAAGCCTCATTTCCTGTTTATCAAAGAGATATTGTATTTCCTGATTCTTATTAAATGATTACATACTTTGAGGGTTAGTTTTTAATAAGATTTGCTGGAACTAATCCTCATTCATCTGTTTTCCTTATAAAGCACCTGTCCATACCTTGATTGTAACATTTTCTACTAATTATTTGATTTGTTTAGATTTTTTTCTCCCTTGCTTAGACAACAAATTTCCTGAGGGTGGGAGCCCTTCTTGAGTTCACCTTTTTCTCTTTGGTGTCTGATACTCAGTAAATACTTGTTGAGAGGGCAAATAGAAATTGGTTCTACATAATCATTCTATCCCATTCAGAGTGACCAGTTTGCCAAGAATTCTAACTGTCTTAATCTTTTTAATCATTGATAGTATTGTTTCCTTATTTTCCTTCTGTAGATATATAACACGATTAGTAAGATTTCTAGAGAACTAGATAATTATTACAGTGGGAATGAATGTTTCTTTCAAAATCCTCCCTTTTCCAGGTGCAAAGTCCTTCTTGGATGCAACCTCAACCATATATCCTACAGCACCCTGTAAGTTTCTTATCTTAACAGCTTTGTGTACTGCCATTAAGCTATGTATGCTTTCTGAGTTAAAACCCTCTGCCAGAGGTGGTACAGAATTTGAGAAGGTTTAAGTATAGAGTATGAAAATATATAGGTTCATTGCCAAACTTCCACTCACCTTTGTCTTAAAACAAAATTGTACTAAACCTGAATTGAAATTTGCTCTTAAGGGCATAAAATTCATTCTTTTTTTTTTACTGCGATTTCATCACACTCCATAAAAATGGCCATCATCAAGAATATACCAACAAGAAATGCTGGCAGAGATGTAGGGAAAATGAACTCTATTACATTGCTGGTGAAAGTATAAACTAGTGCAACCAGTATGGAAGGCACTTTGGAAATTTCTAAAACACTAAACATAACACTACCCCCATGAGCCAGCAATACCATGCTTGGGCTATGATCCAAAAGATTCCACATCAAGATACAGCAAAGACATTTGCACACCCATGTTTATTGCTTCACTATTCACAATAACCAAGTTATAAAACAGCCCAGTTGATGTACAGTGGATGAGTGGATCAATAAGCTGTGATATATAAATAATGTATTACATAAATAAAATATATATTGTATACTATACATATTATATATAAGTAAATACATTATATATTTTATATTATATGTAAGGTAGGTTTCATTGGGTTGCCGATAAAGAGAACACCACGTGGTATTTAGGCAGGAAAAGAAGTTTATTTACTGAACTGCTGCCCCTGCCATACATGATAAAGAGGCCCACCCCTCGGCCAGGACTTATTTAAGCAAGGGATGGGAAGAGGTATGGCCAGGTGGGCAAAAGATGTGGCCACACTGGATCCAGATACGACCTCAGGGCCTGGGACAAATCGGATGGGAGGGATGACTAAGGGCGGCCCAGGATGTGAGCAGGAGGGGAGGTGACTGCTTCCAGGTGTGCCAGTTATCTAGGTATCACAAATGCTCAGCAGAAACTTAGCCAAGAGGTAGGGAGGTGTCTGCACAGGGTCTGCATGGCCCGGGGAAGACCTTACATTATATAAATGAAATATATATTTTACACTGTATAAAAGCACACTGTAAAAGTATATATAGTATATAGAAATGAAATAAATATTTCATAATATATATAACATGAATTTTGTTATATAACTATAATTATATATATTAAAATATATTTTAATGTATATGTTATACATTATAAGAATTTACTCATCCATCAGGAAGAATAATATGCCATTTGCAGGGAAATGAATGGACTATTACGTGAATTAAGTCAGGCTCAGGGAGCTAAATCTCAAACATATGAAGACATATAGGATCATATGCATAAACACAAATTGACTGAAGTATGGTGTATACAGGGGAAATAACTTACAGTTCAACAAAATGAATAGTATAGAGCCAGAATATGTGTTGTGGGATGAGGGACATGTCCAAGGGGAGGAAGGGCAGATGAATGGTGAAGGAAGGATGAATGAATACAGGGGATGAGTGGGTTTGGAAGATATGAGAGAGGAGGATGGAAAGGGTGACATTGATCAAGATGTATATTAGTCATAAACTGATAAGTTGAATTGAAACCCCTTTGTACAACTACTTAAAGATAATAATTTTTTAGTTTTATTTTATTGTAAAGATGCTGTACAGAGGGGTTACAGTTACACGAGTAAGGTAATGAGTACATGACTTGTCAACCAATGTTACCCCTTCCTTTTTTTTTAATACTTTTTTAAATATTGAAAATAAAGTACATTCTGTTTGAGGCAGTGTACTCTTCTTCTAATATTAATTCTACTTCACCTTATTATTTAATGTGTTTTCAAAGCTAGTTTGTTAAGTTAAAGCAGGAGTTTAAAAGTTGTAAACTAAGAGAACAGGGTCACAAACCAAGCTAAGAATGTCCACAATGGGTCTGGGAAGGTAGCTCAGTAGTAGAGTGCTTGCCTTACATGCATGAAGCCCTGGGTTCGATTCCTCAGCACCACATAAGCAGAAAAAGCCGGAAGTGTCACTGTGGCTCAAGTGTTAGAGTGCTAGCCTGGAGCTGAAGAGCTGAGGGACAGCGCCCAGGCCCTGAGTTCAGGCCACATGACCAGCAAAAAAAAAAAAAAAAGAATGTTCACAGTGACCTGCATACTTGCCATGAGAAGGCCTAAGTTTTCTAGTAACCAGAACAAAAAGATAAGCAAGACAGTTCACAATATTTCTAAAAAATTGATGGATTACTTAGTAAAAGAACTCTTGGCCTTATATAAGACAGGAATTCACTTAAGTATTCCTCTTAAAGTAGGTACTAAGCAATGTAAAACTGTGTGTGTGAAATAATCTAAAGATAAGAAGCTCTGAGCATGTGACTTCTCTTAAGCAAATAAAACATGCAACACAAGACTTCTCTGATGACATATGTATTTATGCATATATGATCATTTGTACATGTATCTACTTTTGCACACATATCCACATATCTACACATACCCACACATGTATGCATAACAAAATAATATGATCTAATTTTGTTCTAAGAGTCATTTGGCCCACACATAACCATAGCAATCTCTGTCTCTGACAACTTGATGCTGCCCTATTTTGGAATACTGGAAATCAACGCATTTTTAATTTGGGTTTGTCTTAGTAAATTACCATCCTACAGATAGTGTGAGGGAATGTGAAAAACAGGATCAGGAAATTCCTCTACATTCTGGGCTTCTGAGTCATTTTTATGTTACTCTATTATTTTTGATGATAAACAATAAAAATGAAATGTATCTTTCTTTTTTGACAACTTTTAGAAGACAGTTCTTTTCATTTCATGTCTGAGAGGACATGAAGAATATTAGCAGAAAGTTTTGATCCGAGAGTCCAATGCCTTTTGCCATTCAGATTCAAACTGGTTGGTTTAAGCCACAATTATAAAGTATGTTCACATCCATCCCTGCCCTCAGTTGAATATCTAATTCTTGATAAATAACAGTACACTTAAGGTTATAGTAGCTACAGTGATAACAAGCATGTAGTACCATTTGTGGAGTGTTAGAACATTGCATTCTCTGGAAATCAGGCGATGGCAAAAGTGAAGAGGAATGGTCAAGTCCATAGAACATTTTTTGATACATTTTTTATTGTAAAAATATTGTACAGAGGAGTTACAGTTACATGAGCAAGGTAATGAGTACATTTCCTATTGAGCATTGTAGGAAAAATTATACAACTCAAAGATACAATCACAATTGACTGAATTTTGGTTTATACAATGAATGTATCACAACCTAATACTGGTAATGGCACAGCTTTCAATAAGTTAATGTTTAAATATAATACTAAATTAATGTCACATCCCCAAATATGAAATGTCTTCATGTTCTCTGACTGTAGGCTGGCTATGTGCATAAAGAGTCTAGAACTCCAGCAGAAGTACCCAGTGTTGGTCATACATACTGGTTCTATTTACAGGCTGGAATATGGGTGATTGTACTTTTTATTCCTTTCCTCTCTAGTTTACTTTTTTTTTTCTTTGTTGATGGTAGAGCTTGAACTCTGGAGCTTTTCAGCTCAAGTCTATCACTTGAGCCACAACACCACTTCCAGTTTTTCTGATGGTTTATTGGACATAAGAGGCTCACAGACTTTCCTACCTGGACTGGCTTTGAACTGCGATCCTCAGATCTCGAGTAGCTAGGATTACAGGCATGAGCCCTGGCACCCAGTTTATTTTCCTTTTTTCTTGTTTTTTAATTAATTATCTTTAAGTAGTTGTACAAAGGAGGTGTCATTTAACAAAGTAGTCTATAAATACAATGCATCTTGGTCAGTGTCACCCCCTTCAACATTCTCATCCACACACACCCACCCCTTGCCTTACATGTTTGAATTTTGCAGTATATACATTGAATTCTTCACTGCATTCTTCCCCCTCTTCTCCTCTTCATTCTTAAATACATTTTTAATAACCAACATTTTTTAAACTTTTTAAAAAAAGAACATGAAACTAGGGTAGAATTATTCAGCCTGCCCGAACTGGCCTCTCTCCCAAGGGCACACCAATAATAAACTTCTGAGAAAGACAGTAAATGAAGAACATACTCTTGATGCTAACAACTTACACCTTGAACCAAGTGACTTGTGTAGAATATTTTTTAAACGAATCACCATATTGGTCATGTTGTTTTGTAGTTCTTTTAAAAGAAAAAAAAAAACCTGGTCTTTTTTTAAGAAGGCGTATTGTAGCTCTCGCCAGCCAACAGACATCCCAGTTTATTTCCTGTCGCAGCTCCTCCTGCTGGAGCTTAGCTTAATTAAGGGATGTTTGTGGCCTTTGTGACAACAAACTATTTCCCCTCAGATGCTTATGAAGCCTCAGGAAAAGTCATCTGGAAGGTTTTAGGAAATTGTTTGTGATACCACTTCCAAGTTTAAGAGAAATTATTTTTGCTTCATATGCTTTAGCAAACAAAAGGATTTCTCTTGTAAAAGGTAGCTCCTTCAGCTTGTCTGAGTTGTTCTTGTCTCACCTCTCTAGGGCGCTGTGTTAACTCCCTCAATGGAGCATACCATGTCACTACAGCCGGCATCTATGATCAGCCCCCTGGCCCAGCAGATGAGTCATCTTTCCCTAGGCAGCACCGGAACAGTAGGTGGCAAATTAATATCATGTGTCTGTGCAGACAGAGGAGCATCAATTAATACTGCCTGAATCTTTTCTATCAAATTGTGCACTCAGGGATGACAAAGATGGTATCTGGTCCCTCTTCCCTGCCCACATTGCCTTCCACAAAGTAAATAGCCAGACATTTTCATTCATCGGCTGAATGTCAACTCTCCTTTGCCAAAATGTAGCACCCACACATGCCCATATATAGATTTTATAAGCAGTGTCTAAAGCCTGCAACTCAGCAAGTAAAAGATAAAGGTGATTAGTGCTGAAAAAGACAGGAAATACTTTTTTCACTATTCTTTTTGCCAAATTTGGAAGCACTGAATCATTACCCTGGTGGTGAATTATTTCACTGGAATCCAGGAGATTGGGTGGGTAGTAGGTTGAACTGATACTAGATCAGATTCCAGGTTGGAGGCTGATGATAGAGTTTCGGTTATAAGCAATGGGCATTTGATTCAGCCTGTGTCCACAGTATCCTTAAAGAGCAAAGGACAGTACAGTCTTCCCTTCTTGTGGATTCTGTGTGTGTGTGTGTACGCATGCACACACACGCTTTTGTGCACGCATGCACATGCATGTGCATGCTGGTTATAGGGCTTGAACTCAGACATTGTCCCTGCTCAAGACTGCTCTACGACTTGAGCCACAGCTCTACGTCCTGTTTTTTAGTTGGAGATAAAAGACTCCCAGACTTTCCTGCCCTGGCTGGCTTTTGAACCATAATCCTTAGATCCCAGCCTCCTGAGCAGCAAGGATCACAGACACGAGCCACTGATGCCTGGCTGAAACATGGGATTTTTATTTTGACAAATTAGAAAAGCTGAAAACTTGGACTTCACCTTCCATGTGACACATTTGTATATGCTAACTAAGGAGAGCTCATTTGAGTTTCTTCTCAAATTCCCCGGGTACTCTGCATTTTTTGTGGCTTACCACTGCCCCTCCTGACTGCCTTCTTTTTTTCAGTACATGCCTGCGACATCAGCCATGCAAGGAGCCTACCTGCCACAGTACACACACATGCAGACGACGGCAGTTCCTGTCGAGGTTGGTACGGGCATCCAAAGGCCATTCTGGCAGTGCTTAGCTTAAGAAATGGGTAAATTCAGTAGAACCCAAAGCAAAATCTAGCAACAGTCAAACATTTGCATGAAGAATTACCTGTACCAGGAGTATTCACCTAGAAAGTGTTTTCAGTTACAAAATAGAATTCTCCTCATAGAGAGTATACTATCTAGATTGCATGCCTAAGACTCTCCAAATGTTTTCTAATCTTGAGTATATCTCATAGCCTCTTTATTGTTACCCCAAAATGATACAGGAACATTAAGATAAAACTGCAGTTTGCAGTCCCAGTACTAAGGAGATTATGTTAGTATTAATAAGAATAACAAAAATAATCATAATTCAAATACTTAATAAGAAAAGCCAGTATTTCAGTCATGTAGTAGGGATAACAGAAACCACATCTGTTTCCTAGAGGGTATTGGTATAGCTAAACATGCTTAGTTCTTATTTTGGAAGATACCTGTATGGGAAAATCCAATCACCTGAATTGTGACTAGACAGAAAAAATTTTTTTTTTCTGTAAAGCACCCTTAAAATTCCAAGGAAATTCAGAAATCCAGTTGATCTCACCCAGTAGGCAGATACCAGAAGTTCCATTTCCAGGAAGGACCATAGAAATGTGGCTTATTATTATTGCTTCTAATTGTGCAACATTACACAACAACAGTTACCAGAACCCACAAGGACTTATCTGCAATTGCAAAACTCTCCAAAAATTTATGAAAATGCGAATTCCCTTTGTAACCACTTTAGGAAACAGGAAAAAAATAACCTGGCCTTTGGCAAAACCCAGGCCTAACTTGTGTAGGCAAGGCAAAATATTCCTCTTTCACTGTAGAACTACTGATATGTTTGATTATGAAATACGACTCTAGACCCTACCATATATAGGTATATGTGTACCATGTCTTAGATTCCATACCATACCATGCCATCTGTTCCCAGGGGATAAGAATAGACAAGTCAACATTAAAAGAGGGCGGTCCCATAGGTCTACCATATATCAGCTAATTCAAAGCCTTAAAAACTTTACGTGAGGGCTGAGAAGTTGGCTCAGTGGTAGAGTGCTTGCCTCGCATGCATGAGACCCTGGGTTCAATTCCTCAGCACCACATAAGTAGAAAAAAATCTGGAAGTGGCACTGTGGCTCAAGTGGTAGAGCGCTAGCCTTGAGCTGAAGAGCTCAGGAACAGCGCCCAGGCCCGGAGTTCAGCCCCCATGATCAAAAAAACACAAAAACAAAAAACTCTACATGACATAAAGGAACTCACTTAATATGCTTGAGTTTAAAGTATATGCCCTGGTATGCAATCCAGTCTATGAAGCAGAGTTTGGCTGTCATTGCTAATCTGTCTCTTCCATTCTGTTTCATTGTAGGAAGCAAGTCCTCAACAGCAGGTGGCTGTAGAGACATCTAATGATCATTCTCCATATACCTTTCAACCTAATAAGTAACTGTGAGGTATGAGGGAAAGGTCTCCATAACCATGGGGCTAACATCAAGCAACGTCTAATGTTTTCTGTTGTTGTTGTTGTTTTGGGTTTCCTCAAAAATTTATATAGAGAATTATATAAAGAATGACTCAGATTTGATCATCCTGCTTTAATTATAAGCAAAGGAACCTTATTAAAATGTAAAAAAAAAATCAATGATTGTGTGAAGTTGCAGATTTACCATTCTGCCTAAAAATAATGAATATTGAGTATTATTGAAGCGAAATATATATTTACTATCCCCCAAAACATAAAATCTATATTACCACGGGATAGCAGGTATTAAAAAAATAGTTGCATAAGTATCCTATCTTGTATGCTCAGATACTTATCAACTAAAGGACCTGTAGTATATCATGTTACCTCAGTCTTAAAAGATTAGCTAGATCTTGATTTGTGAGTTTAGATTTAATGGCAGTATCCTTAAATACAAAAGATTGTCTTCCCAGCTGTTTCTTGACTCTCAAATTTTCCAACTTTTTGCTTTACCATGGATATTGCTATAAAATAACTACTATGTGTGACTGGCTTCTGGATTGCTTTGGTGGTAACACATGTACTGCCAGTTTGGAGAGCCATATGAATCTGACTCTGGTCCTCTTACTGAAGAAAAGCATTCGTATGAGTCCCAGACTTGAAAAGAGAACTCGAGGCATTGAAATTGCCCCTCAAGCCTGGGGGCTTGCCTCACATTTGGAGTACCTGCCTAGTAAGTGCAGGGCCCTCCGTTCAAACCCTAGTAATGCAAAAAGAAAGAAAAATACTACTTCAGTTTCAGGATGTACATCTCCTACTCTACAACCAGTGATGAATAAAGTCTTGCTCAAACACATGTCTATTTAAAGCAAGAAGGAAATCTGCTGTTATACGCAGTCTACCAAAGTATCTGTTCTTCATCTTTTCAGGTGTACAGAAGGATGCTCTTACATGAAGAAGGGTGTGAAGGCTGAACAATCATGGATTTTTCTGATCAATTGTGCTTTAGGAAATTATTGACAGTTTTGCACAGGTTCTTGAAAATGTTATTTATAATGAAATCAACTAAAACTATTTTTGCTATAAGTTCTATAAGGTGCATAAAACCCTTAAATTCATCTAGTAGCTGTTCCCCTGAACAGGTTTATTTTAGTAAAAAACAAACAAAAAAAACAAAAAAACAAAAAGATTTTTATCAAATGTTATGATGCAAAAAAAAAGAAAAAAGAAAAAAGAAAAAAAAAGAAAAGAAAAAGGAAAAAAATGAGAGAAAAAAAAAAGAAAACTTCAATTTTCTGGGTATGCACAAAGACCATGAAGACTTATCCAAGTGCATGACCGGATTTTTGTAGTTTTGTTCATTTTGTGTTTAATTTGTGGTTTTTTTTTTCAGCTGTATGAAACAGGCTTTCTAAAGTTTTAACCGTCCAACTTCACCCATGTGTTTGTGCTTGCTGTGCGAGTGTTCCTGTCACTCGATGTTTCTGTCCATGTCTTTTCTTAGCTTCCCATTTTTCTTTCCACGTAGTGTGAAGTGTCTTATCCTTTTCTATGAATTCCAATTTGCCTTAACTCTTTTGATGCTGTAGCTGTTTCAGTAAAAAGTTAGTTCAAACTAATGATGTAGAATGCTTTGACCAAATGAGCTGGTCTATTATGCCTTGTAAAACAGCAGCATAGGGCTTTTAAAAGGTAGTCAATAAAAGTTGCTGAAATTTTGGCTTTTTTTAAATATGTAGTAGGTGTTTTTAATGATTTTTTTCACATAATGTGTAAGGTAGTGAAATACAAGAAGGGAAAAATGTTTTGTGTGAAACACGTTTTCTGACTGGGGAAATTTTAATAGGGTAACTTGTTTGTAAGGCTGTATGCCAAGTTTCCTCTGATAGTTTGACTGATTTAGGATATCTGCTGTATGATGCAATGTAAAGTCTCTTTTGCCTTTTTTTTTTTCAGGAAAAAAAACTAACTTGATGTTCTAGATTTAGTGTAGGTAGCGTTGGGACTGGGGGTGGGGGGTGGGGGAGGGGAGTCACCCCATGTTTTGTCCTTCCTTTATACTGATGATAGTGCTTTAGAGTGAGGATTATGCCTGCAACCTGGCAAACCGAGAAAATGTTGCTATTGCAATCAAATGGCAAAAGCTAAAAGTAAGGATTTCTCTTCAAACATATGCTGAGATAGGAATAGAAGCAAAATGATTGGCTACTAGCTCTCTCTCTCTCTCTCTCTCTCTCTCTCTCTCTCTCTCTCTTTCTCTCATTAGGTAAATTTGAAAAAGTAAAAAAAAAAAAAAAAATGGCTACTAGCTCTCTCTCTCTCTCTCTCTCTCTCTCTCTCTCTCTCTCTCTCTCTTTCTCTCATTAGGTAAATTTGAAAAAGTAAAAAAAAAAAAAAAAAAAAACGACTTGGCACTTTTAAAGGTAACTTCACCAAAGACCGAAGAGCCAGTAACCAGTAGCTCCAACTTGTCTCAGCATCACATCTTCTGTGCTCTTTTATTTTTGCCGGACCAGTTTGCGGTTAGGAGGATGTGCCTTTTTTGTACCTTTGCATTTAGGTTTTATAGTTTTAATTGATGTATGGACACACACAGACAAACAACAACAACAAAAAGCATGAAGGAAGATTTGGACCCAAGCAGTGCCACACTTTGCATCACTACAAGTGTTTAAGTGTAAAGAAAACCAATTTTGAAACTATGAAATTCCTGATTCATAAATACACAGTTATTTCTACTTTAGTACATAGGAGATGATTCACTGTTATTAAAGCTCTTTTCTTAAAGCAATTGCGTATGTTTTCAAAGCAATGATAAATTAAGTTGTCTTCCAAAACTGTGTACTTGTCTGGTCAGCTGTGTATGATCAGTTATCTACCTCAGAGTCTGTTTTCTTTTGTGCTGGGACAGGTTGCTGGCCCTTCCTGTTTCCACAGACCAAATCCTCCTAGCTCAGGAGCTAGGGCTAAGCAGTTGTTTCTTTCAAGTATTTTTTAGTTCTTAAATTTTATTGCTTGTATTTGATTATCGATGTCAGTGACATTTCATAGTTTCAAAAGTCCTTGCTGCTCCGAGAAGTGTAGATTCTAGTAAAAAATTAAATAGTCATAAGAGAAATGTGTTTTGGGTTTTTTTTATTTTTTATTTTGTTTCCTTTTTTTAAGTTGTGGTATTATTGGTTCTATGCTCCCTGAAATATTACTGCTTTGTGAAAGTCCAGACTGTACGCAGCACCCTCCATGAACTGAGTATGTTTCTGAACCTGGGTCTCTCACTACTTGATATTTTTTTGCATTAGTTAAAAGAAAGAAAATGGATAGCTCAGTTAGAAGGGGAGGGGAAATCTGCTGCTAGAAATGTCTGAACTAAGTGCCATACTCGTCTGGGTAAGATTTGGGAAACAAACCTCTGTACATAAAAAAAAAGAAAAAAATCAGTTAAACATCACATAGTAGACAGCCATTAAATTATAAAAAAAATTAATTTATGAAGAAAGACCTTTTGTACAGATTGAAAAAAAGATTTTCATAGAGATATCTATATGATCAAGAGAGTTAATTTTTTATTTGTGTTTTACTAGCGCCACAAACTTGCCGGTGGTAACTTATTTGTCCGGTTCAAGATAACTCTGTAGTTTTCTTTCCTAGGACTTGTTAAACGCCAAAAGACATTTTTGAACTGTACATTTGATCAGATTGTTAGCTTTTTCTGTTTTATTTCTTTTGAGAACCTTTGAATAAAAAAATATCTAAAACTATTCTTCCTGTCCATTTTTTAAGTAGATTAAATGTATCTCAGAATTTCATTTCACTTCAGATCTTACTCTTCAACACAGGACACTGGAATAGGTAAACATATGTAATATTCAATTTGGACTAAAACTATATTTTTTTAATCAGAAAACCCTTTCTACTCCTCTTCTTGCCTATAATTTAAATCCACGAAGTGACCAGAGACATCAGCCATCAGCCCAATACATCTCATCTCAGCAGAAGTCCAGCCCAAATGAAGCCGACTCTTGATCTGGTATTGGTTTTGATTTTTGGGTGTTGGCAGTGCTGGACATAGAACCTTGCCATGCTAGGCAAATACTCTTCCACTGAACTGCATCCTCAGCCGCACTGGTCTATTCCTAAAGGTCAAACAATCAAACCCATTGCCTTCCTCCTGTGTTGAGTGCTGTCCTTTGACCCTTTGTTTAGGAGGATGGAATAAAAAGCAAGCAAGCAAGCATGTGGCCATGATGTCAGAATGATCTTGCTCATGCCATTATGACCATGGCCTCATAAATGCCCTTATTTGGCTGTTCCCAATAGCAGGCTTCTATGCAGCATTCATAGTAGAGTGAGAACTTCCCTCCGCTTTACGGGAGGCACCTAATCTGGGAACCTGACACCTACATAAAGTGAAATGTTTTCATGTTGGTGTACAGTATTTTTTGCTGTCTAAGGACTCTGTCAGGGTAATAAAAGGAGTAGAAAAAAAAAAGACCTTTCTGTATGCCTACTATGTAGTCTGTGAATCAGGTAAGGTAAGTTTTGAGCACTTCGCTTGACAAAAACAAGAAAGCCCTGGTATCTGGTGGCTCTTTGAGAAGATAAAGTAGATTCCCCTTGTGGTGACTCATGTTGCAAAGGGAAAGGTGTCAAGGCATGGCCTGGTTGAGAGAAACAAGGCAAGTTAATGGTCCCATTTTGTGTACCCAGAAGTGCTTTGTCATATGACCTAAGACAGGATAAAAATACCATTTAGGTTTCTGGGCATCTTAGGTTTTGTTATTTTAAAAAAAAAACTGTCAAGTCCCAGGCTACCCATCTAGCTAGGTTATACACTTGTCCCTTCATATCTCCAGGGGGGTGGTCTCAGACTCATCAGAGATGCCTAAATCCACAGGTGTTCACAGCCTTACATAAAATGCATTCACCCTACCCGTATCTTCCCATATACTCTGAATCATCTAAATTAGAACACCTAATACAATGAAAATTCACTCAATTACTTGTCTTATTGTATTAGGAAATGACAGGAAAAATATATCTTTACATGTTCATCACAGATGTAATTTTTCCCCCAAATATTTTCTATTGGAGGCTGATTTCTATGCATCATTGTGGCACACACAGATGCTGAGGACCAACCACTTTGTGAATTGAATGAACATTCTTAAGAACAACTCTGACTAACATAGAAGGGAGGATCAAATCTGGGTGGCGATGGTTCAGAGAGATGATGACTTATACAAAGAGGCACCTTTGCCAATAAGGTACCTATTGCTAAAAGATTGCAGCTCCTCAGGTATAAAGTTTTCCTTTTAATTGGAGATGTGTGGAGGTAGAAATGGGGTTTTGGAAGAAAAACGCTGTAATAGTTGTTCGCTGGTATGAAATACCCCTCTTGGTTAAGATAGAAGAGGTTCTGGGGGACCAATCCCATTGTCACCCTTGTATCCATGCTTTTCATGGGGCAGTGGTATTTCTGTTGGAGCATGGATTCTGCCTCTTGAGTTTCATAAAAGCTGATTAAAAACAGGAGAAAGATGCATAAACACATGCACACATGCACACCTGTGTAGGATTTTGTTAAATGCTGGGACCTAGCTGATAATAGATTTATTCTAGCAGAGTAGCTGAAATTGGAAAGAAAAGTCACACACACACACACACACACACACACACACACACACACACACACACACACACCCTCCTCTGCAAAATACCTAAGAAATAACATACGTGGGGGAGGGTGAACCCAGAGTTCAGATTTAAGAAAAACCAGGCATTCTTTCAAGAGCTCGTGAGAGAGAAGCACCTGGACCAGGACTGTGAACAGACTGGTAGTCGTGTACCACAGTGGAATTTCAGTCCTGTGAAATGGCTCCTGAATGTCTATTTGCTCTGGGTCTCTGCCGGGCATGGGAATATTTCGAGCTCTGACCACTAGAGGGAGAATTGGATTTTTCAGCCTTCCAAGCCCATGCACAAGGCATGGTCTCCTGGGACCTGGAGAAGCGTGCCCACTGCTGGGAGGTGTTCAGAATCTCAGGATACATACACACTGTCAGTGATAGAAGAGGTCTTAAATTTGGGGTTCACTGAAAGCGAAAGCACAGGCCATCTGCTGCTGACACAAACAGATGCCCTTGTAGTGACCACAGTTGCATGGACAGGGTTGG